AAAAACCAGAGTTGTTTATATTTACAAATTGTAGCTCCTTGCTCCAGAAATGCTAATGCAAAGCTTCTGGATGGTGTTTTTGAAAATCCTTCATTAATTTCCTTTTTTGTTTCCAAGAAAGGTTGTAGTCATCATTAATCTCATGAGCCAACTGGCGGAGATACTTGGCTGTCCTTTCCTTTTCAGTTTCAAACTCCTGGTTTGTCAAACGGTTGCAAAATGTGAAGTCTTTTAAAAAAAAGGAAAAAAGTACAAATTAGAAAGACAAGTTTAAAAACAACTAAAATTTACTCAGCAAAACTGGCCTGCTGGACAATCCTCATCACTCCCCTACCCCAAATGTGATAGGTAATATTAGTTATGTTTATTTTATTAATTTGGTTCAGATTATTAATCTTTTTTTAATTAATAAATAATTTTCTTGTGGGCTCTTACATATAACAATCAATACATCCATTATATCAAGCAGACATATACAATGTTGGCATCAACCATTTCAAAACATTATCTTTCTTCTTGAGTCCTTTGATATCAGCTCCTCTTTATTCCTTCCTTCCCCCATCCAACTACCCTGTGAACCCTTTATATATTATGTATTGTTACTATTATTTATACATATCTTATACCGCCATTCTAGTCCTTCACCTATTATCATGGTATTTGTCCCCCTTGAGGTGGGTTATTTTTGCCATCATTGCTATCCATTCCCCATTCCCTTCACTGACCCTCCTGGAATCTTTACTCTCATTACTGTTTTTACGGGGGGTTGTCTATTCTGAATTCTGTATCTTGAAAGCTCTCATTTGTACTGGTGTATAAACCGGGCTAGCAGGATTTTTGAGGTAGGACTGAGGTCATAATAGTGGGGGGAGGAAGGATTAAAGAATTACAGTAGTGTTATGTATTTCATCGGTGCTAAACTGCCCCCAGGACAGATTATTAATCTTATTCATTTATAAAGCATTTTATATTTTGGCATAATCATTTAAATATTTTATTTGATTGGATTTCCAAAATAATTCTGTGAAGTAGGAGAAGCAATGAACTATTATTCCAGTTTACAGCCTGACCTCCCCACAAAAAGCAACATATTGCCATTGAATGGATTCCGAGTCACAGCAACCCTACAGGGCACTGTAGAACTATCCCTGGGGCTCTTCCGCTGTCCATGTTTATCGGGGTAGACAGCCTCACCTTTCTTATGCAGAGCAGCTGGTCAGCTCCCACTGCTGAGTCAGCAGCTAAGCAGCCCAACATGTGATGGTGTAACCCACTATCTTACTATGCTGTCCAGTAAATTAGAAGCATGTTTTAAACAAAACATTTCTGATTCTTACTCTTGCTTTCTCGCTGCTCTTTGAACTTAGCACACACGATTGGTGCGGTCTCTCGCTATATTGTTCTACGGATGAAGACATCTTAGCCTCCATACACATGGGGAAACATTACCAAAGTAAACTGGAAATCCTTGTGTTTTTTTTTTTGATTGGGGGCGATGGGGAGGGGGGAGGAGGTGAGTTCCACTTTATAAATGCCCTTCACCTACCCACACCTGTGATGACAACCTGGCATTACATCAGCTCTTAAA